AAGAAGTAAATATCAAGAAAGAAATCTATTTCTTTGGTGGGCAGTTGGTCATTTCAATCTTGTTTGTTTGACTTATTTGTAAGCCTGATGTATACCAAGCTATATAACAGTTCTTTGGCATTCAAATTTTCAATAGTCAATGTTTCTCATTAGCGAAGATGAAATACATTAGAAACTTTCAGTTGATAAAGTATTCTACAGATACATTTAAATAGGAAGTTTAAAGAAATGCATTCAAAGCTATAGATTTATATGTATATATTTTTATGTATACATTATGCATTACATATATATCTTTGCATTCACTTTATCAGGTTATAAACAGAATCTCTATTAAGAATTTTAAAAATTGAAAAGCAATATAGAATTGATGTTTATCTGATTTGATTAAAATGTTTCATGTCACTGAATTTTTAAAATGTAACAGTCAAATATTAAATGGAATAGTTGGCTGCCTTCATACTTTAAAAATTGAGTTTATATAGTTACCCATATCCTCATTTGTTATTCTCAAAAATAATGTGCAACTGGATAGATTTTTACCAGCCACTGTTTCACTACCTTTTGGTCAAAATGAGGTTTGTTTTAGTATTCAGTAATAGGAATTCTCAAATATTTTGTAGAAGGGCCAAATTACAGAATAAAGGATGAAGAGTGAATCTGTTCACATTCCATACTAATATATAATGTTTATGCTCTCTTTAAAATAAATAACTAAAAACATTTTAAAAATCTCAGAAGTAGTTTGCTGCTTATGTATACATAGTCTATAAAAAGGTATATTTGAGTTCTCTCAAAACCCTTGAATTTTCTACAGTGAATTTTTTTTTTGGTACCAAGGATTGAACTCACAACCTTGCCTTTGCAAGACAGGTGCAGCGCCACTGAGCTAAATCCCTGGCGGTGAATATTCTTTTAAACTTGATTTAATAAAAAATGTTAATTTGGGGGGGAAATTACTGCAGGCCATTTGAAAAAGTTAATGCCAAGAAAGGGAACTGTTTTTAAACTAACTTTAAAATTCTCGAGAGAAGCTCAGCCAGTCCCAGCACCCAGAAGGAAGCTCCCACACCGCCATCCCAAACTCCTAAGGCAGAGAAGCTGAGCCGGTCCCAGAACCCAGAAGGAAGCTCCCCCACTGCCATCCCAAGCTCCTAGGGCAGAGAAGGTGAGCCGCGTGGGCGCCAGATGCAGACCCCCCCCCCACGCCCCGCTCCGCCGCCGCCGCCGCCGCCTTGGAAATGAGAAAACACATAAACAAGCCTCAAAAACTGAGTTCCAGATCACCTACAGCAACTCCAAAGGGAAACGAGATGGAACAATCTGATACTCAACCACCTGGACTCTCTGAACTGGCAACAAAAGAGGATCTGGGAAAAATGAAATCAGAAATAATTACTCAGATAACA